CTGTAATTTTTCGGAATGTTCGCCGTCTAAATATGAAATCGCATGACTAAATAGACTTTCGAGCTGCATTTGCGTTATGCCTTAGGCATGTCAAAAATATTTGTAGCGAAGTGTCGATTTCGCTTACCGGACAAGCTGCGATGCTAAAAATTTGTAGGGGCATTCTATATTCAAGTGTGGCTGAAATTCAGTTTAGAAGCTGAATTCTTTGTACATGGACATAACATACTCAATTTTATTGCAATTTTGGAAGCGAGTATATTTTGCGAATTTCTTAATCCTTTTCTTCCGAAATCCTGTTCACTGTTAAATTTGCAGTTTTCGATGAACTATTCGTCACTGGAAATTATTCATTCGTCTTCATGGAAAATTGACCATGATTATGCACGCTAGTGTTTCGTGCGGCCCCAATCATGAACACTTCTGTTCTAGCCAACCCCTCTTCTCTCTGCGCGCAAGAAAAAGCCAGAACAAAGTAACTATGAGTCCACGTGCTAGGCTGTAGCGCAGGAACTAACCGTGCCTTTAAGAATCTGATTGCCTCACATTTAGCGGAAAGACGCATGGTGGCACCGACAAGCCTGGTGCGTCGCAGTCTGAGTTTTATATTAATGAGACTGAAAAAGGAAGTGGATATAGACGAATAAGAAGCGCGGGAAAAGAAACGAAGAGGAAGAGATGAAGGTGCCTTAGAGATGAATGCAAAAATTGACATTGAAACAGCGTGGTGTAGAAGTGGATAACTGCGTGGAAGGCGAAATTAACGTTTTCGCTGCCTATTAAGGCGGCTCCATCAGATCCAGGCCGTGCTATAAAGCACTGGTATCAAGGGCACACTGGTGCTACGGTGGGCTGTTAAGTGAGTAACTGCGTAATCAAGGAAAATCTTGATGATACCGTGGAAAAAGGAATTTGCAGGGGATTTACACGGTTTCTGAGACATAACGTAGATGGCAATCTTTCCACACTCAAGTCACTGAACCTTTTGTGCAATATGGATTGCTTCGGCGCTTAAACCACTAGAGGAATCTGCCAAACGAGGCGCATACTCGTGCGTAGCGTGGTAGACAATATCTCCTTCGTGAACGACAAGGTTCCGTCGCTTTCAGGGAATCCACTTTGATTTGCTCTAAAAGAGTGTTTCATTGTCTTGTTATGCGTTTTTGCGTGTATGCAAATGTAAACCAGGCTGGAACGCACCAGGCGAGCCGGCACGATCATGCGTTTCTGCACAAAACTTGAATTGAGTTAACTGCATGAACGGTTGTTTCTTCACGCCTACCTTGTGTCCTTAATGCCGAAAATCACCGTAAATTTTGCATAAAAAGAAATGAACTATTTCCGTGTAACGGTGTTTTTTGAAAGTAACCCAACTGTTCAATGAGTAATTTTCCAGCCAGAAATTTAATTGCCCGCGCACGAAAATCACGCC